AATTGGCAATATGGTGGGAGGCTGGGAGGGGATGGTGGGGGATTGCGGGAGGAGGGAACTGGGATTGGCATGTAAAACAAGCTATTTAAAATTAAAATAATAAAAAATCTTTAAAAAAAAGAAATTTGTACCTTAATGCAGCAGCTGAAGCCAACATGCTCAGCCAATGGGATAATCTGAGTCTATTTTTTACCTGCTAAAAAGTTATCATCATCATCATAATTGTTGTTGTTGTCATCATCAGTTATCAGATACTTCAATAATCACTAAAGAACTGAGGGTGCAAACTATCAGTTTCTTCCACAGGAATGTGGTCTTGGATAGTTTTAAAAACAACTTCAGGTCAGGAAGGTCGAGTTGGGGAAGAATAGAGAAGAGCAAGGAAAGAGATACCTTAATAAAGGGAGCCATTAACTGATGGGGAAAGTCCTTCTGTGTATATGTTTGTCCTATTGGTTGCTAAATAAAGCACTGTTGGCCAATAGAGAAGCAAGATAGGTGGGACTAGAAGAGGTGGAGGATTCTGGGAAACGGAGGCACAGTCAGTCACCATGTAGGATGCAAGAGGAGTGAGAGGTCAGGACTCTTTCTCTGCTAGGAGAAGACCACGTGGAAATACTCAAATTAATAGTTTTGAGTTAATAATTAAGTCAGAGCTAGCTGATAAGAAGTCATAACAAACAGCCAACAGCTTCATAATTAATATAGCGTCCTGTGGTTCATTTGGAACTGGCACGGCTCAGGGACCAGGCTGGCAGGAAGAATCACATTACATATGGCGCCCTCAACGTGCAGCACAAATTTCCACTTAACAAAAGCTTAAAAATGGATTTTTAAAAACAGAAGAACAGAGAGAAGCATGGCTTCTTGGTAGCAGCATTTTCTTGTGTGGGCTCTGTTTTGCTAGAGACAAGCGTAGACTTGCGTGGCCAGTGCTGGCGGTAAACTTATATCCTTCATCTTGAAAAGACAACGGTTAAAACAGCTGCGGCTTCAATTTTAACAATGTTGTTTAGCAGATAAAAGACAAGTGGCCAGAAAATATAAAGATTTACAGTAAAATCAGATTCAGAGGAAGTAAAATCTCTAAAATGTTTACAGTGTGTTTTAAAAATATGTGTAGGTGTGGAAGAGAAAAAGAAACAGGATAATGGCTGGGTGTGGTGGCACAAGCCTTTAATCCCAGCACTGCAGGGGCAGAGGCAGGCAGATTTCCAGAGAAACCCTGCCTCAGAGAAATAAATAAATAAAAGTAAAAGAAATAGAGTAATAAAAATGCCACGTAAAGGTGGAATATACACAGAGAGTCTGGATACTGCATGCTCTTGTGTTGTCTTTGAATTGTTTAATTGCTGTGGAAGGAGCAACAACTGCTAAAAGACATTTGGTTATCAATGCTGCTGAATTAATCCAACTTATATATTTTAAAAATGCTTTGACTTCTAAATTTAAATATAAGGACAGGTTACTTGGGAAAAAAACTTTTTTGCTTATGTTTCCACAGAAAATGAAAAGCTGTGGATTCCTTCCAGACTTCTATGGTTTGATGAAGCAAGACCCCCCTGAAGCAGTGGCCCAGGTGATCCAACATCTAAAACAGCTGAGATATTACAGCCTTAATGGACTATAAAAAACAAGGACCTAATCAGGTTTCTGTGTTTTGTCATGATATGGACAGCGCCCCCAACCAGCAGGGAGCAGTTTGCAAAGAACAACACCCAAATTTCCAAATATTGTTTATAAGTTTTGTTTTCATTTAAATGGGGTTGCTTATAAATGGTTAATGATCACAACCAATCTCTTTTTAAAGGTAAAAGGGAGATTATGGTATAGAAAGGAATACTTCATATCGGTATGGATTTTCATTTATTGCAACAAATATAAGATCAATTTTGTGATATATATATATATCCTCTTGTTAAGATTTGTGTTTATATAACTCTTTTAAAATGAAATGTATAATTAAGTATAGATTATAATAATTACCTATAATAGTCAAAACTTATAGTTAGGTTAGTTAGGTTTTCTAGATACACAGAGATGTGTTTGAGATGGATAGATTTTCTTCAAACCTTTCAAAAACCTACAGAATATATGGCATTTAAATGGTTTATGGTTTTCATGATAGTCAGACATAACTTCTCCTGGCTCACCAATTATGCTTGAGAGGAAGATGGGCACCAAAGAAACTTGTTATGGAGTTTACTTTCAACTTGGCAAGATTAGCCATTTGAGCAAGAAACTGCTCTTGCCTGAACTATTTGACTGTTTCTATATAAACTGGACATGCAGGACCCACAGGAAAGTGACTGCTAAACTTACAAAGCAAGAAGGACAGTCCTACAGAGTTCATGCTTCATGGAAGAGTCTCCTAGACTTTCTGCAGGACACAGAAAAATGACTAACAAACTGCCAATACAGATGGACAGTTTAAAATTTCCTGCTTTGCTGAGAAGTCTGCCAGACACACTGTAGCCTATGGGCTGAAAATGGAGGACCCAACATTACAGAGGAACTTCAGGTGACTGTCCAGGTAGTGAGATGTCTCTGTCAATTCTAGTATTTTTTTATCCTTCCGTGGTTTTTGATGGAGTTGAAGACAGATAGTTATAGTTTCAGTTTTCTTTAGTTATGATAAAAGATAAGTCACATGTAAGACTTTAGACTCACAAAGATAGGACAGATGATATTTTCTTTAAATCTTGCTAAATGTTAATGGGCTAAATATTGTAACTATAGTTCTTACTTGATAACTGTTCTGTTATATATGATTTGACTATATTAAAGTTAAAACCTTTCTTTTTATTTAGACAGAAAATGTTAAGAGAAGCTTTTTCTTTTGCCGCTTTGGTTTATCCCCCGCCAGTCGCCTGGGCTCTGCCGCGCCAGCCTGGTTCTAGATCCGCATGAGTCCCAAATAAACACACAGGAGGCTATATTAATTATGAAGCTGTTGGCCTTGCTTGTTTGTTACTGGCTAGCTCTGACTTAAGTAATTACCCCATAATTGTTATTCTGAGTATGTTTCTTACCGGAGAATAGTTCCCGGCTTCCTACCCCATGCGGTTACATCTCGAACTCTCTTGTCTTTCTCTTTCCCAGAATCCTCCTCGACTCCTAGTCCCTCCTATCTAGGTTTTCTATAGGCTCAACAGTACTTTATTGACAAATAACAGGACTTCCCCAACAGAAAAGAGGAGATGATGGGGGAAGTTCTTCTGTGAATATGTTTGTCTTATTGGTTGATAAATAAAGCACTTTTGGCCATTAGGGAAGCAAGAGAGGTGGGGCTAGTAGAGGTGGCAGATTCTGGGAATCCATGTAGGATGCAAGAGAACTAAGAGGTCCGGACCCTTTCTCTGGTCAGAGAAGAACACATGGAAATACTCAGATTGCAGTTATGGGTTAATAGTTAAGTCAGAGCTAGCCAATAAGAAACCATAACAAATGGGATGAGGGGATGATGGGGGAAACGGGAGGACAGGAGGGAGAGGGAAATGGGATTGGTATGTAAAATAAGATTGCTTTTAATTTAAATAAAAATTAATTTAAAAATCTTCAAGGGTTTAAGTCAGAGACTTCTTCTAGAAAAGCTAACAACAGAGCAGAATATATAGAGTAAACCATTGACCAGGACATCATTTCTCACCCTTATGAGGGTGATCTTATTGTCAGGTACCAAAGCTGTGAATGCTAAAAGCAGATGCACTAAGACTTTGAGTACCTCATACAGAGGAACTAGATCATTTGTTCACTCATCACGCATACTCTAAACTTAACTATAGCCTAAGTTCTTGATTGACCAAGCACACTGTGTTCTAATTTCTAGCTTGTCTGATTGTGAGTTTCTTTACAGCAGAAACTGATTAGCACAGTGGGCAGTTGGCAGTAGGTGCTCATTGTTATGGGTGTACTTCTGGATCACAGTGGACAGTGTACACTGGCTGTTTGTCAATGTTGGTGTATTCACAGATATGCACTTCTGATTGTTTCACCAATGTGACAAGTCAGTTACAAAAATGCTTTGATGCCCCAGGGAAGGTGCTCCTGAGATAAAGACTGTTGCTTCCAAAATCAACATATTCTTTTTGTTCAGATTTATAGTCGCAGTAAACTTCATACAGCTTGTCGCTGCTGGAGCTAACATTCTGTGGTCACCATTGACTTTTCATTAAGCAAAAATTTGTTTAGAAGTACTATGCATATTAGCACTAAAATCATTTTTAACTTGCTTAGGATTCAAGGCTTTAATTTTTCTGACTTTTCAATTGTAACTTAATATGTTTATTTGTGTTTTCTAGAATCCATTAGCAACATGATTTCACTCAAAGTAAAAATATAAATCTTTAACATTCTGTTAAGAAAATAAAAAAATTTACAGTGGAAAGCACTATAGGTTTTGTACAGAACATTTTATATTGGTGCTATTACATTAAAGTGGTATCAAATGTAATAATTTAACATTAGGGAAATTTTTCTTTACTTCTGTTATAATAACGTATTAGCTGAACACCCTCTCTCTTGATTGGCAATTTGGAATGTTTTGAAATAGGTAAATGGTCTGCGTGGTTAAAGAAAAAATTCCTCTAAATGTATTTGAAAGAAATACTGAGATTTCTGTTTATAAAAATGCAGTCTCATGTTATATGTGGTCTTAGCATTTTCTTATAAAACGGTCATGCACAAATAAGTCAGAAAAGCAAGAATGTGGAATTTTTCCCACACAAAACTGAACTTAAATAGAGACCCTGCATGATGGTGAATGTTTCCAAATGCAAACAGTTTTGCATGTTTTCATCATTAATGCTAAATAGTAAAAATTTTGAAATCTAAGTAAAAAGTGTATCTATCCTCAGCTACCTCACTTCATCAGTGGTCAAGTGTAGTTATTAAGTAAGAACTCCCAAAACGAGGAGAAGGGTCCTCAAGGCCTCACTGCTTTCTTGGGAACTGGATACTTTCTCATGCAATTCAGATCATTGGTCAGTGTCTCTACTTACAGGAGGGTCTGCATCTTCAGCATAAACGGTGGTGATTGGTGTCCCCTTGACAGCATCTGGAGCCACCATCCCCTTGTAGATGCGTTTGCTAAATACTGGAGGGTAGTCATTCATGTCCTGCAAAATAGAGATGAGAATTTGGTGCTGTAGTAAAGATTAGGGAAATGGTTAGGTCAATTAGGCTCTTTATGTCATCCAATATATTTATCATGGCAAGCTGCATCCTCCCTCTTCTATTTATTTCCCAACTGACACTCCAGAGAAGCCAGGTCCCTATGTCCATGATATCATCTGGAGACCACCCGTAGAATATCACATGCTTTCAAGGCCCAAGTGATGCTTGGAATTTGCCTCAGAATATTCCTAAAGTTATGATGTAAATTCTAACCTTATAAACACGAAGAGAATTTCTTGTATGGTGTGAATGTCTGAGTGTCCACGGGTGCCAGTCCAGCATGTGTGTGGAGTGTGCATACATGTGTTCACATGTACATTTGAAGGCTAAAGGACAGCTCCAGGTGGCACTCTGTGGATGTTTGCACCTCTTTGTTTTAAGATATGGTCACTTACTGGCCTGGAACTCACCAGAAGGCCAGACTGGCTGGTTTATGAGTCCCAGGGATCTGCCTGTCTCTGCCCCTGAAGAACTGTATGATTACATGCCACCATGCCCAGTGGTTTTCTTTCGTTCTTCCTTTCTTCCTTTCTTTTACTTTTCTTTTTATTTTTTCTTCTTTTCTCTCCTCCACCACCACCACCACCACCACCACCACCACCTCCTCCTCCTCCTCCTCCTCCTCCTCCTCCTCCTCCTCCTCCTCCTCCTCCTCCTCCTCCTCCTCTTCCTTCCTCTTCTTTTGTGTGGTTTCTGGGTCTCAAACTCAGGTCTTCATACTTCCAAGTTCTCTACCCAACAAGCTACCTAGTCATCTAGTTCCCAATGTGAGTTCTTAAAAAGTTACATTCTGAACTTGGCATAGGTTGTGGTACATACCTTTTTATTCCAGGACTTGGGAGGCAGGGGCAGGAAGATCTCTAAGTTCTAGGTCAGCCTGGTCTACAGAGTGACTTCCAAGACAGTCAGGACTACACAGAGAAACCAAGACTAAAAAAAAAATAAGTACCAGGAAATGGGATAAGATGATGTTTTGTTATTTGTTTTGAATATCTTGCATACTTAATTGACTGTACGAGCAAACTGTGTCCTCCGATTTGATGTTCATTCTTATGAATATAAAACAGTAAAGGGAAGATAAGGGGGAATTTTCCCTGAAGCATACTACAGTGATGGTATTCATAATTACATATGCTTATAGACAGACAACAAAGTTAATTTACTTAAGGGAAAATTTCAAAGCACTTTATATACATCTGATTTCATTTTCACTTTGGTGGTTAAGGTTTACTGTCAATCATTAAGTAGATACTTATCAAGTTATGCCCATGATAACTAAGCACTGTTGATTATGCTCTTGGATAGTCTTTGACTCCAGATAAAGACATTCCTGTAACAAACCTCTCCCAACCACCACTTGACACATAAAGGTGATGGTTCAGTTACTGACTTCATCCAAACCCATCTAATTATTTGTGAGAGTCCAAAATAATATATCAAGTCTCCTGAGAGGAGGACATTCCTTAACCACCTTATCATTCAGGGAGAACTGTGTGTCATTTATTTCTGACTAAATAATGTTTATTATAGTGATTCCCTTAATGTTTGATTAAGCATTACATTCTGCACTGTTTGGGGGTACTTCAGGTCAAACACACTTAGGCACTATGCAAATTTAGTTAATTACCTATTTTTCCTTTCCAAGATAACTTTTCCCATTTGCTCTTAAATGAATATGGCAAAATACTCTATATATTCTTTCCAATGTATTCAGACACATCTTCTCTACCCAATGCTAATTTGAAATGCACTAATTAAACCATTATAAACTTCTCTTTTTGCAGAATGATCAGGGAGGTTATGTCTGACAAATGAGGTGAGTTTTATATGCACAGTACTGTAGGCTGAATAAGAATAACCCAATGGTATTAGATAGAAACAGTCTTCAGTCATCAAAAGAGAAAAATAAAAGGTATCATTTCCTCAGACAAGTGATGCTCACCTTTTCTATAAAAAGAATGCTTCCTTTCTAAGTTATGGAGTGTAGAATCTGAACTAGCAAATGAACTTAGAAGTGCTGGCTCTCCAAATGGGGTGGTGAAAAGAGACACTTGTCTGGGGACTCAGGGAGAGAAAATGGAGAATGCATTTGTATACACACTGTCCAGTGCTTTATCAAGAATAGTGATTAATTTAATGAGTGTATCTTATAACTAAAGATGGGAATCTAATTTGCATTCCTAAACTGTAACGTCCTTATGTTTTAAAAGGAGAATCCAGCATCACACTTTTAACCAGGTGACCTTCTGCTGAGAAACTCCATGTGCTCCTATGTAGTCTCTTCTCTAGCTATTCTTGGCCTGCCCCTGACTCAAGGAAACTCAAAGCTTTGGAAAATTTTACTTTCTGGGGGTAGAATATCAGGATGTACTTTTTTCTGGTTGCATTTATTCAGTTCTTGATGATACTGAGAGCAAAGACCTTTTCTTTTTTTTTTTTTTCTGCTGGGAACATGTTTACCAGATTCACCTTTGTTAATTCACAGTGGGTGTTTTGGTATCTGCCTTCATAAACTGATTACACACACACACCCCTAAGGCTATAATAACGGAAGGCCATTACAAGGTTGCTTATGCACCTCATTACTTTTGCTTGCCATTGACAATTTGAAGAATAAATCGATATAGTTATAATGTAGCAATATTTCTTTTGATGACCTATTTGTACATGTTTTAGTCTCATAATATCTATTGTGGCTGAGATATGTGGCAGATTGCCCATCATTCTCCCACAATGCACTGTTTCAGATGAGGCTGTTTATTGAAATGCAATGCCAACATGCATAATCAATAGTTCATTATGTTATGGTTCAGGGACATCAAAGAAAAACCACACATAACTAACTCTGTTTCCACACATGTTGTATTATGCTCAATTCTCCCACTAGAGGGCTGTATTGGCAAAAGGAAAGATTTCTTCCTCTGTCCTACAGTTAATTTTATCATTAAAACCCATTATAGTTTCTTTCCTGTGGTTATATTTGTTGATCTGAACAAAAATTAGTTTTTGTGTTTCAACAGAGCATTCTAAATGTTACCACTGTTTTCAACTAAAACAACACCAGGGATCTTTTACTATGTTGTTTTTTTAACCAGTAAAGCTTGTAATTTGAATCCAGGCATCCTGCAAATAAAACTTGACCTCAAGATATTGCTAGCTATCTGGAAGAAAATACAAGTTTCATGTATTCATTTTCAAAATTAAAGTCTAAAATAATCATGCAAACCATTTTTGTTTTTCTTTATTCATACCAAAGAGTAGGTTTGGGGAATAATTTGAATAGCATTCCAGGATGCTATGAATTAGCTGGCAAGTATATAAACAAATAATAAGTTGAAAAAGAAACACACAAAAATGAAATATAAAGACATGACAAAAATGTGACGCTTTTCAGAAATATGAATCAGCTGTGGCCTAAATCTCCTTCAGTTCTGCTGCTCCCTTCCCCAAGAAGACACAGTGTTAGGAAGTAGTGGGTGGAACAGCCTTCATGCTTCTGCCATTCTGTCTGGCACTGGCACTATCCTGTGGCACTATCTGGCCACCGTGCCCTTCTCTAGCTCTTCTCAGTCAAGCACAGTTAGCTCTACTGTCTGTGCCAATTAGTTCTCTTCCTGGCCACTGGGCTCCATGTATGAGCTGCCACACTGGTGTTTCCTGTAGGATCAACCTGTCTTCTTCTCTCTTGCTGCATTCTTGTGGTATGTCTTCTGACTCTTCTCATCCCTGCACTCCTGAGTGTACGGTCATAACATGAATGCCTTTAGACAAACAGTATATTCTCCTGTTTTGTGCTGGGACTTTCTTAAATATAAATAAATATCTCCATAGTTTTAGGAAACTAAAATCTTCACTAGATGATTCTTAGTTGTTGACAATGATGGCTAATCTTGGCTGTCAATTTGCTTACATCTGGGATTAACTAAAATCCAAAGTTGGATGATAGTACACCTGTGGGGGATTTTTGCTTAATTTGAGTTAGGTAGGTCCTCCTCACATCTGGATCTTTGGGATGGGAAGACTCGTGCCTTTCATCTGGGCCTTATCTTTTGCTGGAAACCTATATAAAGAAGCTTTTGCTCTTTGCCCATTTCCTCCTAGCCTTGCTGGCAGGTCCAATCCTTCACTGTTATTAGAGCCTGTTCTGTGGGACTCCAGTGTATACTGAAGACTAGCTGAGATATGCAGCCTTGTGGGCAGAACAAACCAATAACCAACATGCCTCCTCCATGCCCTTTGCATCAGCTGTTGGCTCCAAGTTCCAGCTCCGACTTCCTTTGATAGCGGGCTGTGATGCGGAAGTAGAAACTGAATAAACCCTTTCCTCTCCAACTTGGTTTTAGTCACAATGATTCATCACAGCAATAGTAACCCCAGTTAAAATACCTAGATATGTGTGTGTGTGTGCGTGAGAGAGAGAGAGAGAGAATTTCTGTGTTCGTAAACTTTTTGCTGCAGCGAAATATCTGAGAAAATTAACTTTAAAAAGTGAATTATTTATTTTGAGTCACAGTTCCATGTTTGAAGAACATTGTAGAAAAGCTTTGTACTTCATGGTGGCCAGAAAACAAAGAGAAAAGAGCAACTCTAATATCAAAGACCCTCCCCTATCCCTGTCTTCTATAATCTATCAATAGGTTAATCATTTCATAAGGTTAGAGTCCTTGGGAGCCAATCAGCAATATTCCCCTCCCCAATACTACTGCATTACCTACCAAAGAACTTTCAAAGAATATTGAAATTGCAGGCATTATATTAGAGGCTTACACTCGTTATGTGGTTTAAATAAGAAATGAAGCTTGAAGGTCTTAAATTGCTCACTGCTATCCAGCTAATAAAAGGTAAAGGCACAATGAAATCTGGTGATGACAGACAGACCCTAAGCCATTATCCTGGTATCTGGAGGCAACAACAAAGGGAATCACAATCCCAACATAACATG